TTCCAGTGGATTATGTTTCATACGAACAGTCCTGTATAAAGCTCGAAGCCTTTGATGAAGTCACTGAGGATGATCTTAAAGTTATTAAAGATCTGACTGAACTCATCCCTTTGGCTAACCTGCCGTGTTTTAAAAAAGCTTTTGCTTTTAGACACCCCACGCTGCTGACACCTGAAGAACAAGATCTCCTTCCCGCTGCTCTCGAAGCCATTCGTGCCCCTGCATTACCTCAGAACCTGGACTTTCTTGAAGCTTCTTTCTTTACGAAGCCTCCCTTACCGTCCACTTCAAATCCCGATCATCCTGTTACTTATGTAAAGTATGAACAATATATGTCTTGGTTTTATGCTGCGTTACTTATGCCTGATAAACTGAAACCACCCTCTGAAAAAGACTTGTCATGCTTAAAAGATTTGGATCCTGAAACTCTGATTTGCTATTTGCAATTTTTTGCTCATAGACATCCGGAGTATATCGCTGACATTAATGCTTTGGATGATGATTCAAAATGCCTATTATATGAATTAGTAGCCAGTTCCGTAGAACTTAGCTATACATGTTGAACATGTTTTTATTGCCAGAACATTAAAACGGTTTCTCAAAGACTAGTGGACAATCGGCTTGCTGGTCAAGTCTAGCTAATGGTCTTTTTGAATACTATGTAAATATATCCCGGTAGATCTTATTATTCCAGTTCTTAAAACATGCATATTGCACTTTCATGTATACAGTTTTAAACGTAAATAAATCAAAATAAGATCAAGTGTAGAAGTGATTGTTAGTTCCGGTTAATCTCGAAAAGAATATTCGATAAAAGAAATTGTTCAAGATCAAGTTCTGGTTTGTTGTTTGTCTTGGTCTTGGTTGTCAGCTGGTGGTCCATTCTTCTGGTGGTCTGCTGGTGTCCTCTGGTTCGTGCTGGTCTCCTTTGGTGGTTGGCTCGGCCGTGGTGGTGCATATTGGTTATTGAGATGGCCTCAATACCACATGCGGAACGTGCTCTTGTCGGTTATCTAGCGGATCTGTCGCTGTTACCTGGCAAATCGATCACGCTGCAGGAATTAGTCGATGATTTCTGTCAGCAGTGCGAAAATGCTCCGGCATTTGTCGAGAATATCATGCAGACTGGTGCTATGTCCGTGCTCATACATTGTCGTTCGGCTCAGGCTGCCACTGAGCTTTGTGCTGAAGGTTTGACCTTTCGGAATTGTATTGAAAATTCGTCGCGAACTTGTCAAGGGTATTGGCATTTCTGTCTTTACCGTTAAGATGGACATAAAGCGGCCCATTCCTTCTCGCATTACGATTAACCACTACTACATTTTTTACCGAGGCCAAAACCAACAATGCTTTCGTTGTGAACAAACGGGGCATATCTCGAAGAACTGTCCCCGAAAGAAAACGCCTACCCTGCCTCTACCGATTGCAGGGTCACAAAAAGTCGTCCTTCCTCCACCTGTTTCCACTGACATTCTCCCGAATGATAGTATCTCGTTGCAACCATCTGGTACTTCGGAAGAAACTCCACGAAATATTGATTCGGGGAAACGTTTACTTGTAGATGCTTCCTCCGAGCCCACCAAACAACAAAAACGTACCACCTCCGTAGATCAACCAGTCACTGAAGTTACTGATTCTGTTCTACCTCCCCTTCCATCGGATGGGTCTGTTGAGGAAGATATGTCAGATGATGGTCCTGTAGACTATTTTGAATACGAGCAGTCCCGTTTACGCCTTGAAGCACTCGACACGATCACAGATGAAGACAGGCAGAAGGTGAAAAATCTGGAAGAACTTGTGGTATTGACAGATTTACCCTTGTTTAAGAAAGCTCTTGCTTTCCGCCACCCGACGTTACTCTCTTCAGAAGAGAAAGATCTCTGAAGGTGCTGAAGGTTTGACCTTTCGGGGTCATCTGCTAAAACTCTCGCCGGCCCCAAGTGTACAATGGGTGAAGCTGACCCGAGTAATGTACGGGACAACTGAGAACACAATCAAGTCTCGTCTGTCCGATTACGGCAACGTGTTGAAAATTCGCCGTGAGCTGGTGAACAGTATTGGAATCTCGGTCTATACAGTAAAGATGGATCTTAAGAAACCAATTCCTTCCAGAATTACCCTAGACCACCATCCGGTAAACGTTTCTTATCGTGGCCAGGCTCAACAGTGCTTTCGCTGCGAGCAGACTGGGCATGTTTCAAAACACTGCCCGCGTAAGAAGACTCCTCCTCCCGTCGGTCCGATCTCAGGCCCAAGTAAAGTAATCGTTCCTGAACCAGTACTCGTTGATGACCCCTCATTGGTTATCCCTCCGATTGACGCTCCAGCGGAATCCACGGTTTCCGAAGAAACCCTTCGTCACGTCGACACTGAGAAACGCTTGCATCCCGAATCAACGACTCAGCTGAAAAAACAACAAAAATCTCTCCCGGTTGACCTACCTATAGACACCCCTGACACGGTTCCCAAAGATGCTCCTGAAAAACTGCCTTTACCCTTGGAGTCTTCGACAGATATGGATGAAGATCCTCCCGTTGATTATATTGCTTATGAACAAACCCGGTTAAAGCTCGAAGCCTTTGATGAAGTGACTAGTGATGACCTAAAAGCTCTTGAAGATCTCACCGAACTTATTCCTGTGGCCGACTTGCTTCGCTTTAAAAAAGCCTTCGCTTACCGACATCCTACCCTCTTGACACCTGATGAAGAAAACTTCTACCCTGCTGCCCTTGATGCACTCCGTACCCTGGCTTTACCCCCGAACCTTGAATTTCTAGAGTCTCCGCATTTTACGATCCCTACTTTGCCGCCCTGCTCGAATCCCAACCATTCTGTCACGTATACTCAATACGAGTTCTATATGTTGTGGTTTTATGCTGCGCTGGTTATGCCGAAGAGGCTGAATCCGCCCTCAGAAGAGGACCTGTCATGCCTTCGAGGCTTAGATCCTGAAACCTTAACAGGCTATTTGACGTTTTTGCTTATATGCACCCAGAGTATATAATGGACATTAATACTCTGGACAAAGATATGAAAACCCTGTTATACGAGCTAGTAGCCAGTTCTTCTGATCTCTGTTACACATGTTGAACATTGTTTTTATTTCCCGAACTTTATAAGGTTTCTTAAGAATTAATGGACAATTGACTTGCTGGCCAAGTCTAGCTAATTTCTTCTTTTGAATACTATGTATATATTTACTCGCAGGTCTTATTATTTCCAGTGCTTAAAATTTACATATTGCACTTTAATGTAATTTTTAAACGTATAATAAATTGAAATAAGATCAAGTGTAGTATCTGTTCTTATCAGCTTAATCGTCGACCGAAGAACAATCCCAAGCAAGTTTTCAGAAGTTTTTGGCTGCAAGAAGAAGTCCCGCGTGCTGGTAAGTGGCTCCCTGGCCTTCCTCTCAAAGAGGATATGTTCTGGGCTTAAGGATCTTCAACTCTGGGGAACCTTTTGCTCAGTTCATAGACTCTGCGAGTTGAACCAGGTCCACTGTAGGTCCTGAGGAGTTGATTATCTCTCCTCTCGGCCGCCAGCTTCCCGGCAAGATGGCTTGCCTTCCTACTGCCCGTCTCGAGTGTATCGTACCCTTCCCTACAACCGGACTGCCATGCCCGATTTGTAAAAAGACGCAACGTGACTCTTCCCCATTCAAAACTCACACCCGTCGAGTTCACCATGTGAAAGATCCCGAAACCCCAACAACATGCTCAATTTGCGGCCAGGTTTTTAACACTTTCCGTGCCGGATCAGCACACTTCGCACGAAAACACCTTACTCCAGCGTCAACCCCATCTACTCCCTGCAATGTCTTACCAAAGACCCCTCCACCGGCATCTACACCTCAAGTTATCGACGTACTTGCAAGCGTATTGAATCCTTCTCGAAGCCCAAACAGCGACCTCCCTCCCGAAGCACACAAAGTTGCCAAAACCCCTGAATCTACACGGAAAATCATCCAGAAAATTTTGGAAAACTCTGCGCCACCCCAACCACCTCGTGATCCCTTCCCTTGTACGAGCGCTGAATCTACACCACCAGCATCGACAACTTCCCAAAGATTGGTATCTCCAGAGATACCACCCCCCATACCTGTGAACAGTCGCTCCACGATTTGTCCGCGACCAGAGAAAGAAATTCGGCAGCTCATTCGCCACTACCATAGGAAACCGACAACACACCTGCAAAGCACAACCCCCCCCCCGACGACAGTCAACCTCTCCACCGCCCTGCATCACTCACGAGCCATCAGCCACCATCCAGCACCTCAATAATAACCTAACTTGACTTCGTGCCACCCTCGAAGATGTTGATTGTGATGATGATAGTTCCTCCTCCCTGCCTACACCTTCCAGTCCCCCTATTCCCGATTCCCAAATACCATCAACCAACAACCCTATGTCCCCCTTCAACTCTTCACCCACCCTATTCACCCCATCACAACCCTCCCCTCCACCCCAATCCCCTACCACTGAAACTTCCTCGCATAATCGTGCCAACCCATCCACAAGGGAAATCGACCCACCGGCATCCCCACCAAGCGAGTCCCTACACCACCTAGCTCAAAACAATGTAGACCTCCAAAATTTCCAAGACCACTGGACCACTACATTTTCCACTCAGCTTCCTTGGGAAGAATTCGCTACACAATGCGAATTATTTGCCGAATCATCTCGCACTCTGGCAACATCCATGAACTCCCAAAATAGACCCCCACGTCAAAACCCTCCACCACAACAGCAACCCCCTAGACGACCACCACAAGGGAGACAAATTGCCAACTTCAATCCCACAGAAGCTTGCAAAATCCAAGGCCTATATCGACACTCCAAGAAGCGCGCAGCTCGTAAAATCCTTGCCACCAACAATACCACCTACACGGCCCCCACGGGCCCATCCTATTCAACCTCTGCCTAGAGCTCGTCCTCCGCACCATCAAGTCCAAAGCTGCTTCGCTCAACAATGGTACCGTTATGCACTACAACTCACCCATGTCAGTCCTTGCGTATGCCGATGACCTGGTTCTCGTGGCCCGCAACAAAAGCACCCTGCAAAAACTCCTGGACTCTGCATCGACAAGTGCCTCCACAGTTGGCTTGGAATTCCGTCCCAACAAGTGTGCGTCCCTCTCCTTTGTAAATGAACGGCGTCAACCACAACGACTCGAATTGAATGAATTCATCGTCCAAACCCGACCCATTCCAGCAATGTCACATGATGAGCACTACCGATACCTTGGCGTTCCCATCGGAATGATCCACCGAATAGACGACATTCCATCTATCGTCCCCCAAGTTATCGAAGATATCCACGCTATCACCAACTCCCTACTTGCACCATGGCAAAAACTGGACGCAATCAGATCCTTTGTAGAACCGTGCCTCACCTATGCCCTTCGTGCTGGCAACCCCTCCAAGCAATCCTTAGAACCTCTCCGCACCGTTCTAATCTCATCGCACCGCACCATATATGACCTCCCGAAAAGATCCACCCAAGCGTACTTCTTCGCCTCTAAACACGTCGGCGGTCTCGCATTTCAAGACCCCACAAAAGAAGATGACGTTCAAGCTATCGTGCAGGCTATAAGAATCCTCTCCTCATCCGACCCCACAGTAGCTGTGAGCGCCTGGAACGAACTACGTAGTGTTGTCAGCTGTGCCACATCATCCAACCCTACTCCAGCCCTCCTGACAGAGTTCCTCTCCGGATCCACCAGTAACCGCTGTTCCAACCTGAACTATGCTGCCAGCTCCTTGTGGTCTCGGTGTTGCAATGCCTGCCGCCGTCTGAAGGTCTCCTTCCACTTCTCTGAGACTGACCTCATCTCCATATCAGCTGACGACTCCGCCAAGATCCATGCCAAAACAGCTTCGCAGTTTCTCCACCGCCTTATCCAACAAAGAGCTGCCAATACCCTCATGTCCCTACGTGACCAAGGCAAAGTTGCCCAATCGTTAGCGACGGACTTGTATGCGAACGGCTCAACGTGGACTCACACCGGTGTCAACATGAGATTCAAAGATTGGAGGTTCATCCACAAAGCCAGATTAAACCTTCTACCAACCAATTCCGTCAAAGCCCGATGGTGCAACACCTCTCCTACCTGTCGCCACTGCGTCGAAACCGAGGCACTACCGCACATCCTTTGTCATTGTCGTCCCGAAATGGTCTCTATCCGTGCCCGACATAACAAGATTGTTCACCGTATTTCTCATGCCATCCGTTTCGGCCAAGTCACAACAGATCATGCTATCGCCAGCGCCAAATCTCGCCTCAGACCCGACATAATCGTAGAGGAAGACAACCAAGTTCTGATCATTGATGTCACCTGCCCATTCGATAACGGTCCGACTGCACTAGAAGAAGCTGCTGCCGCTAAAATCAACAAGTACGAAGTTCTGAAAGAACATTTCACCGAGCAGAACCGAGTATGCCACATCCTACCATTTGTTATTGGCGCCCTGGGTTCCTGGTACCCTCCAAATGAAGCAGTCCTACAACGCCTTGGCATGACCCGAAGCTACCGTTCTCTATTCCGGAAGCTCTGCTGCTCTCATGTCATCCAAGGCTCCTGCGATATCTTCCGGCTCCACTTTGGTTGGGACCAAAACGCATCTGAGTGATGCTCCATTTATTTTGGTCTTTTACACGTGCATTAGGCACTCATTTACCTTTTATATTTTCATTCAGACTCTCTCTTTAACCTTTTTTTTTGTTTCTAAGCCCCCTTTTTTTTGTTATGCACACACTTAAGCCATTCGGGCACATGAATCACTAGGTACTCGAACTTGAGAGAGCCCCACTCTTGTTTCGACATTTCAAATTGCATGGATCCAAATTTTCAGTTCACATGTTAGGTTATATTGTTGTCTTCCAGCCCTTAGTTTCATATTTAGTACACATTATAAGTGAGAATGATCACCTCACCCCCTCAGCACTTAGGTTAGTAAACTGTCCCATCACTTTAGTCATTGTTGAATAGAACTCTGTTCTTATCAGCTTAATATCTGATATGTTAGGCAATGCCTAACTCATATATTAAACTGATTTTTGGCCTTCGGCCTTGGGATTGAAGCTTGCTTCGCCCTGGCCACGGGTTGTCTCAGTATTGCACTACATCCGAGTACGGCCCTCTTCCCCTCAACGCGAGGGGAAGAATCAAATCATTTGAATCGAAACAAAAATGTAATATGAATTCAGTAACACTGAAAACTCGCTCAGTATATGATTCTATCATATATAGTATCCGATCTAGTAGCTATCTATCTATTATACTCAGCCATGCAGCCCTACATATATTATTATTCAATGCAATAGCTTAATTAGTATTGTTCTTTCTAAACTGATTCCATTTCGCTAGAGTTAAACCTCACATCAACTCATGCCGCTTTCCATTTCAGACGAGCCGCCGCAGTCGCCGGACTCCTCGATCGATCGGGAAACCAGTTACAAAAAGCCACCGCATTCAGGTAACCGAAACGGCGTACGTACGTACTTGTATGAATATTATTCACTAGTGGTAGTAACGCTAACGACCGCGATCGAAACGTTTTGTCGCCACAATTATAAGTCAACGGCGCTGCCACGAAAGCATACTTACCTGACGCGAGAGGCACCTTGTAATTTTAGGGTGTCTAGTCTAGTGAGTATCTTTTCCCAAGGGGGTGAACACTAGGTTTACTGGCCCTTGTTTCTCTTCTTTGATTATTTATTCAGGGGGGGCAAAGGACGGCCTTTGCTGGACTCCCGGTAGGTCTTTTCTTTAATTTTATTGTATTTTATTTTATTTTATTTGGGGGGCAAAGGACTAGCCTTTGCTGGACCCCTTTCTTTGTTGTTTCTTTTTGGGGGGGCAAAGGACTGCCTTTGCTGGACCTCCTTTCGTGTCTTTTTTCAGGGGGGGCAAAGGACTAGCCTTTGCTGGACCTCCTTTCGTTTTCTATTTTCAAGGGGGGCAAAGGACTAGCCTTTGCTGGACCTCCTTTTCTGTGTTCATTTGGGTGGCAAAGTCCTTGCCTTTGCCGGACTGCCTTGCGTTTTTTTGAGGTTGTTTTAAAGCCTCTTTTGTTTTAAACACCGTTTGTTCTTTTCTCGGCCTTTTACTACACCAGTTTCTGGTATTTCTGTTTTTGTCTGGGGCCGTTGTTTGTTTAATAATTTTTAAAATGTCTTGCCCTAATTTCACCGCCGAGGATTTTGCAAAGTGGAATAAAACATCATCCATTTTCAAAATCCCGGCCCGTTTAATATCAAAGGAGGGCATTAAAGATGTTAGAGTGGCCTTGATTGATGCCATTGGTGCAAACAAGGTTTTGTGTGTGCAGGCTCTGCCGGAACATTGTTTCCGCGTTGATTTTAAGGCAGAGTCTGTTAATTCAAACTACCAAATTAATGGTTTAAGTTTTCGTGGCGTTACCATCACACCCACACCGGCATATGAAACACTAACACGTGTCATCGTTGACCGTGCGCCAATCCATATGCCGGACAATTATTTTGTTAATGCGTTGTCACCATTCGGTCGTGTCTCTCGCGTTCAGCACCTTGCTGTTCGCAAATATCCGAATATCAAAACAGGGACCCGTATGGTGACAATGTCTGTATTAAAGCCTATCCCGCCCGTGCTTCAAATTGCTAACTTTTCCTGTGCAGTGAAGTATCGTGGCCAGCCAAAGTACTGTTTTGGCTGCAAGTCTTTTGGACACTTGCCTCGTCAGTGTCCAGTTGTTAAAGACAAATCCGATAGGCCTGCCTCCAAGGGATTGTCTCTTCCTCCTCGCTCCAAGCGTGCAAAATCTTCCTTGTCCCGGTCGGGCGATGGATGCTTGTGACCGCGAGGACGCTATTGTGGCTGATGCTCAAGCCCACCCCGTACCTTTACGTGTGGTAGAGTCTGCAACTCCATCTCAGACTTCCGCTGTGCCGATGGAGTTTTCTTCGGAAGCTCCATCGGATAATAGGTCGGGGCTATCAATCTGCATCAGCCAGTTCTCCAGCTCAGAGTCGGTCACCTTCGATGGCTCTTTTACCTGTGTACGTCAGGTATCTATAGTGGAGCATAGGGTTGTTAAGCCTCGCCCCCCTAAGAAGGATAACCTTATCCGAAAAGGGATCACTAAGCGGCGTAAAATCAATCGCTCTTCTCTTATTGAGACAAAGCGTGCTTCACCTGCTGCTCCATCTACGGCCACAAATAGTGCTGTTTCTCTTCCTCTTCCTGCTACGTTGGACATCCCAGCTATTCCAACAGCTAATCGTTTTCAGGCCCCTCCAAGACCGTCTGGAGGACCTAACGATTTGGATTCCTTGGACAGTCGGTCGTTGACACCATATGGTCGTCTCTCGACTGTTCAATCGCGCAGTTGAAAGCCTTGCCTTCTCCAAGAGAACACGGTTGTCTCAACACCTCAGCCAGTGCTCTCGGAATCATCCTCGCAGGCTTCAGAGGGAGAGTTTTCCTCACCCCAGCTACACCTCGAGGGTTGACGCCGAATCGGCAATTGTCCCCTTGATTACCGTTTCTCTGATGGACGGTACTCCGAATCAGTGGGGGAATGCTGGTTCTTCTTCTGCTCTGTTGCCGGGGCATCATCTGCAGCATCTTCTTCCGTGCCATCATTGCGTGGCCTTGACTCGCAGGTCGAGTCTCCTTTTATAGTTTCCGGTCCTCGGAGTGTTCATTCCGAAGACCTTATCGACGCCTTCTTCCACCCAGGCTCAATTCGTTCCCTCTCTCTACTGAGGAGTCGTCGCTGAACCTCTTTCCATCAGGAGGCCAGCGACCATTATTTTTCGGCGGAGTTCGTTTCTCCCCCCTCTGCTTTCCCAGCACTTCCTGCTTCTTCGCAGGAGTCTGTGTTTTATCATTTTCTAATGTACAGGCTGCTGAGCCTGAACATTAATGGTCTTAATGACCATTTGCGCGACCGCTTTTATTGACTGGTTGAAATGCATGAGAGTTGATGTGTATGTTTGCAGGAAACTCATGCCGCCTCTCATGCCGTCATTAAGAGTTGGTTCCGCAATACCGATTTCTCAGTAGCCTCATCTTCCATTTCAACGAAACGTTGTGGGTTGCTGTTATAGTAACAAAAGTTTTCGATTTGTGAAGTCCGTAGGGATGACCAGGGTCGTTTTGTTCAGGCAGATTACGCTAGATGATAATAAGATTCGTTTCGTCTCGCTATATGCGCCGAACACAACCCGGCGCGCAACACCTTCTTGCTTCAGTTGCCGATCTGATGGACCTCTCATCACCAACGTATATGGTGGCGATTTTAACGCCGTGCTTGATCCGAATTTGGATCGCCGGCGTCGCAGGTCCTATACTGGAACATCAAAGAACTCGCTGAGGCAGGAGAGTGTTGCAGCCTTACAGTCTCTGCTATCTGCCACGCAAACATATCCTGTGTGGAGACCCTTCACCCTTCAGACACCACCTTTTCTTGGGACCATGCTTCAGGAGAATTCTCCTCCCGTATTGACATGGTGTGGGCTCCCACTATTTTTGAGCAGTCCATTGTTAGCTGCGAATATCACCCCTGTTTCTTTCTGACCACCGTTATCTATTGGTTAATTTTAACGTCGGTGACTTTTTTGTTCGTGGTCCGGGTTTGGAAATTTAATACTTCCCTATTGGAGGATCCAGACTTTGGCAAGCTTGTGCGATCCTTTTGGTCTTTTTGGCAGGGCCAGGAAAACCCTTCTACCTATAGTTCCTCCCGTGATTGGTGGGATCAGGGGAAGTTTTATCTGCGGGAGATCACTCGTTCCTTCGCTTGCTCCAAGGCTGCCGGTCAGTCGAAGGAGAAGAAGCATTTAGAGAGGCAAATCAAGAGCCTACAGTCTCTTTTCGATGCGGGTGATTCTTTTGCTTTTGCCCAACTTTGCTCGCTGCAAGAGCAGCTGCGTGCCATTCACCTCAGGGAGGCAAAGGCCTCCCAAGTTCGCTCTCGTGTACGCTGGGCCGAGGAGGGGGAGACGTCGTCCAGCTTCTTTCTCAGTTTGGAGAAGAAGCATAGGGCTAAGCAATCCATCGCCAAGATACGTGACCCCGACTCTGGCATCATTCATCACGACCCTTTTCACATTTTGGGTACGTGGCAGCGGTACTACGAGCGGCTCTTTACCACCGAGGTGTGTGACACCACCGCGCAAGGAAATGTTGAGAAATTTGAAACGCTCCCTCAGCAAGGCAGACATGGAGTCTTGCGAGGGAAAATTATCAAGCCAGGAGTGTTTCGGGCTCTCTCTGGCATGTCACGTGGCAAGACCCCAGGTTCGGATGGCTTCCCGATGGAGTTTTTCCTCCACTTTTGGGATGACCTCGGAGCAGATCTTGTCCGTGTTTTGAATATTGCCTATGATGAGGGCTGCTTATCTACATCTCAGAAACGTGGCCTCATCATAGTGCTATATAAAAGGTGACCATTTGGAAACAAAGAACTATCGTCCCATCAGCCTCCTCAACGTGGATTATAAGATTGCCACCAGAGCTTTGAGTGGTAGGCTGTTGCTGTTTTAGGATCCATCGTCGGTTCGGATCAAACATGTGGCATTCCTGGCCGCACAATCTCGGAAAATCTCTCGCTGGTGAGAGACCTTATCGAGTACGCCGACCGAT